TTCAATCGAACACAGCGATCGTAAATGAAAGCAACGCGGACATCGCCTGTATCGCGTACATCGGCCGCGAACAGATCGAGCGAACGCTCCGACGCGTCCGAGGAACAACGCTCCGGATCCTTATCTAACCCATTAACGCGCGAGTTGTCACGGTACGCGAGCTATTCACGAAATTCGCGTCAAGTATTAACGCTGGAATTGCCAGCTGCATCGAAACGACCCATTTCTGATTCCTCTCTTCGCAATTATCGAGAACGTGGCAATGCTGTTCGAGGAAATTACCGAGTAACTTGATTTAGTGGCATGCAAATGAAGAAACCGAGTCGATTGAAATCCCAGATCTAAGCGAATGCCAACGTTTCTAGAAACAATGGAACGGACTGTACAACGAACGCACGTGAACCTAGCGTTAGGGTAGTTAATTTCGTACTATCTTTATCAATCCAGCGTGGCATGACGTTAACGGGTTAATAAGAAGGGAACGCAACGGAGCGAGATCGCGTTCCGATTCGTTCGCGTTCGAATAACGTTCCGCCGGCGGTATTGATTCGCCATAATTCCGGAACATCTCGTAGGAACAGCGGAGGGAAAACCTACAATGCGTTCCGCGAAGTCATTGTCGACTATAAAGGAGGCCGAGCGAAATCTGATGCGGTTGTGCATTCGCGTGGCTCGCTGAAAAACGCAGCCCGGCCCGTGAAACGGCCCGAAATAATGGCCGTTTCTTTTATACCGCGAAAATAAACGCCCCCGCCACCGCGGAATATTCCGTTTCCTTCGTTTCTTTTTATTCCTGGGAAGGAGCGGCCAATGTTCCGCGTGAAATTCGACTGGGAAAGGAAACCGGCGATCGTTTCGAAAGGAACGAGCTCTAATTAACCGTGCGAACGAACGGATCGCGCGTTTCGTTTCGCGCGGATGATAGCGAACGCTATCGCGGACCGATCCGCTTATCGACATCCGATGACGGATCGATAAGCCATTATACCCTAATAGAAATCCGGCACGAAATAAACGTCGCGATTAAACGGACGGCCGCGAACGGGCCGAGCGCGATACCGCGTCAACGGCTCGGGACGCCGCTCGATCGATTCCGCGTGGAAGTTTTCTTTCAATCGGTTTCGGATTTTCTACTCTGCACACTCGTCGCGTGTTTCCTTTTCGAGTGCTCGAACACTTCGTACAACTCTTTCTTCTCTAAACATTTCCCCAGGACGAGGGTTACGTGGAAACTTAGCGAAGATTAAATCGCGAATCCTACGTGTTTCCAGCGAATGAAGAGAACAGGAGACTTTGGAAAAATTTCGACGCATCGTTACCTTCGTTTTAACTTGTCGAAGTTCTTAAGGGTAGAAACAAGCTTCTATCGACGCCCTGTTTCCTAGCGCCGCTTCAGAAAATTTCAATCCTACTCGAACGTTCCGCTCGAGATCAGCCGATCGCGAGTACCGAATCGCCGAGCGAAAAACGCAGCTTTCTCCGGGCGAGCCAGGATTATTAGGGCACCGCGGACTGGCTTCGGTCGTAGGTGTTTATCGCGGCCGGAAATCGGATTAATAAATCATCGTGCAGCGGCGAGATACGCGCATTATTTAATCGATAACGCGGCGAACGGTCGCCGGTCCGCGTTTCCGTCGTGAATCACTGGAATTCTTCGAGCGGAACTCGTTCGTCGCGATCGAATTCGCTAGATTTTTCGACCGGCAGATCTAATCTGGAGGCACGTGCGCGATTTATCCTCGGCACCGGGGCTCTAATTTCGAATTCCGGCGCCGCCGTTTCTTCGCGAGACGGGAAATAATGAATAATTTGAACGCTGGAGCAACGATCGCACCACGGTCGATCGGCTAATCGAGTCGGCGTGGTTCTTTCATTCAAACCCCGTTGAAAATTTCATTAGGGAGCCATTTACCGGATCAAAATTTCACTTTTCGCCTCGTATCGTTCTAACCCCGTCTACTACACAGTATAAACCTCTGAACTTAGTCTGCAGAGTGTTCCCGTAAGATTTTCCAACGAAAACAGAATATTCCCGGTGTTCCTCGGCGATTTCTGCTAAACGCGGCCGTCCCGAATCGTTTCAGGGACGACCACCTAGGCGACGAGCCCGTTCCTCGTCGCATTGTCAACACGTGGACGCTAATAATAGCGCGAACCGCCGGTTGGCAGCGGCCCGTCGCGATCTCGCGCTATAAAGCCGTGCGAGCGGCTTTTAATAAAGGAAGAAAACGATGCGGAGGAATTCGCGTGTTTTATCGCGGCACCTTTGCTATCGCGTAACGCGAGGTCCGACTACGTTTCCGGAACGTTTTCGCCGTTCCGTGCCTCCGTGACGGCTCGTAAACTTTGAGAACAGCGAATCGCGACGGATGCGGCGAACCTTTCCCGCGGAGTTCCCGAGCTGTTCCCGTGGAATTTCTATTCGTAACTCGCGGCGAGCGGGCCACGAAAAACTAGAAACGTTGCGGTCGGAAACGAAAGCGAGAAACCCCTCTCGCCGATCCCGTCTCGATCGGGTAATCGCGGCGATATCGAAAACATAAACACCGTTTCCCTGGTTTCTTGTACGACTTCGACGATTATAGGATATCTTCTTACGTGGACCGTCGACGGCGAGAAGCGGCGACACGGTGGGAAGCCGGTGGAAGGGAGGAAAGATCAATTGCGAATCGATCGAGCGAGGTTCCGCTCGTCATCGTAGTCCCGACGGTAGAAATCGTTACCACGAACGGCACGAAATGTCGGCAGAAACGAGCAAGAAACTCGATGAGCTTTCGAGCAGGCTGCGTCCGCGCAAAAACGGCCGGCAGAGGCGGCAAAAAGGAGAAAAACCGAGAAAAAGCGGGCCAGCTCGCTAATGGCCAGACAACGGCCGCCGCTCCGCGCCGCGCGCTCCGAGACGCGATCCAGTCGAGGAGGATTCCGAGCAGAGAGCTTCGCTTCGAGCTTGCTCGACTTCGTTGCTGATCGAGTCGTCCCCGCCCAGGAATCGCGAAACGATGCGAAAGAGAACGGTACAAGCGAAAGCGGCCGGAGAGACCGAAACGAAGATTAACAGGTGTACGCGTCGTTGTTCTCTTTCGCGTTGGTGTCCGATATTATCTTTTTAATCTGCATAGCAAGCGCGGAATTCTCCACGTCCTAGTTAACTGCCAAGGATCACGAAGCTTCGAGGATAGTCGAGAAAGACGTCGCAAGGCAAGCTGTTGGAAACGAAATTTCACGAGATTCTTCGAAGTCGACCGTCCGAGTCGGATGGAAATCGATTCGACTCTCCGTCGGAAGGTCTCTTAACGTCGGATTCGATTCAGCAATTTGCCCAGCGCGATATTCGCCTTCCGGTCGCGTCGGGTGGCCATCGCGGTCGCGGTAGATTTACGATTTCCCGGCGACCGCGATCAAGTTTTTATCGGCGGCGCGTTTTCGCGGTGGCGAACGCGCGTTGGATACGCCGCTTATCGCGCTTCCACCCAATAACGCCCGGCTGGATCGCGACAAAACGTTCCGGGGGCCTGGCCCCTCCGTCTGCGCGCGTACTAAAAGCTTTATCTGCTCGGCCGATGACTAAACGCGCTTATAAACCGAAAAACCGCGTAACGGGACGGTCACACTCCGTTGTCGCGCTCGATCTCGCCGCTTTTGTCGATGCTCCCGTTGCAGAGGGAGTTGGTGCTTTTATTTAAATCGAGACCCGAGTAATTAATCCCGCGAGCTGCCGGCGATGGCTCTGAATCGAATTCAGAGAATGTTATTCCGTTTCCAGAAGTCGCAGCGAAGTCACGGAGAACGCGGACGTTCGGTTGTATTTAAAACACAAACGTGTGAATTGAAGGGGTAGGCAAAGAAAAAGAAAGCGAACGATAAGAACGGAATGAATAGGTTTAATCGCCGGCACGAGAACTACCTCGAGATAGGAAACTAAACGCGGACTCGCAACGACCGCCGCAATTCCCTTTTACGGCGGCGAGTGAAATATTAAGGATAACGCGGCAGGTAATGGCGAAAGAAATCGCGAAGCCGGCTGGGTTAACTCGATCCTCGGCAGCGGCGCAGCCCGTTTAATCGCCGCACCCCACGATCCGTCGCGGGGCGAGCGCGCAGCACGCGCGGCACGATATCTCGACGAGAGCTTCCCGTCTGGCTCGCCCGTCCCGAAACTTTTCGTTCAGCGACTACGTATCCACCGGAAACGGCGTATCGATCGTCGCGTTCCGTTCATCCCGCTCGATTTCGCTTCAATTTTCACTCGCGCGGTTCCGTTCGCGAGAGAGGATTCCCGTTGCGGACGCGGCTCCCGATGTTTCGCGTTGTACGGTGAAATCTCGATTATTAGAACCTCGGTTATCGGAACTTTCGGTTATCCGATCTCTCAATTGTCCGCACTGCCGATCGTCGGATTATCCCGACCAGTTCGTTCGCGTTACCGTTCGATCATCCGATGCATTCAATGATCCGAAGCAGTTCGGTCCCCGGACTGGTTCGGAAAATCGAGGTTCCGCTGGATCCGGAAGACGTGTAGTCTCACCGCAACGCCTCGCAACAGGTGCACTCGATTCGCGACCCTTTACGACCCGCTGCGGCCGTTACCATCGGCGATGCCGGTGTTGCGGCCGCGACAAGTGTACGCGCGGTGGAAGCTGCAAAAGGACCGAAAACTGCGGCGGACGGAAGAAGGTTCTCTCGTGAAAAGCACGCGAGCGTTGCTCGACGGGCGCCTCCGCACCAGCCTGTCCTCGCTGTTCTTTCCCCGGACGTTTTATTTTTGTTCTTACACGGCGCTCGCTCCAAGCGGACTGGAAAATTACTCCGCTTCCTCGGTTCATTTACGACCGCGCGGCGACTCGTTCCGTTTCGCTTTTCATTTAATTCCCGACCTATCCTCGCTGGCACGGCTTCGCCCGCCCGCGTCACGTCGTTCCGCGAGCTTCCTCTCGAAACAACGCGATTTCACGCGTCTCCGCGGTGATTCGTCACGGAAAAACGTCCCGGGGAACACTCACCGGCGCAGTTTACATCGACGGCGAAGGAACCAGCCAAGGTAATCGAGTGGAACGCTCTCGGCTTATCTGGAACAAAAAGTTCAGCGGGATCGTGAGCGCCGGGAACGCAGGCCGCCTCGCGAGCTTCTCGAATCGGCTGTTTCGATTCGATCCGCCCCCGAATTTTCAGATTCTCCATTGAAACGAGATAACGTGTAACGCGGTTTGCTGATTTTCGTAAATTTCAGTGGAACGAACAGCATTCCTTTCAGTTATTCAAGGATTTAATCGTTTATTTGTTTCTTCTAGGTGAAAAAGCGCTCCTTCCTTTAGTTCCCGAATACGTTGTACAATCATTTCATAAGCGAAAATATTAATTTTCTCAATAACTCTTCTCTGCATTCAACTGCATTACCCAGGGACTAAATTAAAGATGCGGGGTATCGTTTTGCACTGGCAATAATTCAATAAATATTCGTTCATAATAAGAAGGAAATTAATAAAGAACTCGTGCAGAACGTAAAGCTCAATAACGATCGTTCCACGGATATTGCGTGCCAGAAGGAAAGTTTGCAGCCGTTGTAATCGAAAGAATCTGCGAGCGGCGAATCGAAGGATGCTCGCAAAGGGCAAAGGGTGCGTGGGCGATTGAACGGAGGGGGCGGACGCGCCGGCGGACGAGGGTAGTTTGGAATACCGCATAGATCACGCATATTCTTACACTCGCGGGCGCGCGCGCGTGCCAGCAATTCCGTGATTCGCCGGTCGCCGCGACGGGGCCTCGCATTGTTGTCCGCTAATTTACGGGCCAATTAATTAGCGGCGCGAACCACGGATATTCCTGGCACCCAGAAACCAACGGATATCGCCCTCCGACCGTGGACCGTTCGTTCTCCGACCCCTCCGTCTATTTTCCCTACGTGTTCGTCGGCGACTTTAGACCCCGAACGCGCGATCGGGAAAGAAACGAGACTCTCAAAGCGATCTCCGCTTTTCTTCGGCGCCCGATCCGCGCGTAGGACTCATTCTCGTCCGCGATAGCGTTCCGGCGTTCCATTATCCGGGCGCAAAGGAAATCCAGTCGCGAAACACGGAGTAACAACGCGAGAAAGGATGAAAACGTCGGCGGACAAAGCGACGCGAGCCTTCCACGCGAATTCCCTCGGCCAATTGTCGAATCTCAAGGCTGGAGACGCGAGGCCATTTAATCTACCCCTTTGCAAACTTGCGCCCCGACTGCAAAGGACGAGAGGAGCCTTTTAGCGCGCGGGCAAAACAGCCGACAAAAGGCCGGCAGTATTTTCGCGGAGGGCAAGAACGCCGGATCTTCTTGGGCGAAAAAAGCGCAGCGACGCCGGCGAGAGGAACGGGGCGGGGAGGGCGAAACGTTCGCGGACGTTATGGATGACAGTGTCAGCGGCAGAGGGTCGGCGCGGCGCGGCGCGGCGCGGCGGACAGGACAACGCGGTGTCACCGTCCGACGGGGGTGCGGAGTGCACGAGACAACGAATAATTCATCCCTTTCCGGCGTCCCCCGGCAGAGACGCACATGTCGTCGCTGCACGCCGCGAATATCCACGTTGCACGCACACGGGCACACATGCACGGGGGATGCAACATAATCTTTCAGCCGCGTGGTCACTCGTTCACGCGCCGTGCACACGTACCCCGCTCGAGGCCCGCCTCGACGCGTCACCTGTTCGTCGCAGGTGCTCCCCGGCCGCGGCGAGTTTCGCGGATCAGCCGGCCGATCGTCTCCCTCCTCGATCTTTCTACGGTATCGCGTTTCAATGAAACAATAAACTATAAATTCCGAGCGCGTTCGTCGTCGTTCGCCGCGCTGGCAACCTAAATGCGCTGTAACAGGAATAGAATAATGTCGGCCATTAATAATACGACACGGACAGCGCGATATTAATCTCGTCGGATCCCGCTTGAGCGATGAGTAATTACAACTGAAATCATTTCGGAAACGCGATGTACGCGATTCGATCGCAATAAAGTCACGCCGCAAAGAGATCGCCGGACGGGAATGCTGCGCCGGGCCGCTTCTTAGGTAAATGGATGACCGCCGGCCGGCGGACAGATTAATTCCCGACAGCCCCGTGACGCGTCCCGTTGTCGCGTAAAACTGCGGGAGCAAACAGCCGGAAGATAACGATAACCGTCCGGCCGCGCCGATAACGACGCACGGGGCCGCCATGATTATTAATCACGCGCAGGTTGCGCGTGCGAGTGTCAGCAGTGCGTGGGGCGGAGGAGCGCCCTGACTAATCGTTTCGCCATTACGGATTAATATACCCGGCCTAGGCGGCGGGCTAGCTCGTCGTTTTGCTCGCGCGTTTCTACAGTTTACACGGCCCGTCGGGCTTGCGCGTTGTTTTGCGCGACCTGTCCGAGCCCGAGATCCCGACCGGAAACAGTTTTGTTACGCGTCTTCGGCTCCACTATGTATCCGGGGAGAGAGCGAAATTACGCCGCGATGGCCTGCCAAGATATTCCCGAAGATATCTTTCGCCTCCCACTATTTCAGGAAACCGGCCGGAAACGGGCTCGAGGCCCGAGCGCCGCCAGTTTCGTGAGGTACGCGCGCAAACACCGCCGAGGTTTCTAACAATTTATTATATGCCTCCAGCGGGGACGGTAACGAGACAGCACAGGGGCGCGAGGAGTTTATCGCTGGCTGTTTATAGCTTTGATTGCTTACTCGCGAGTGTATCGATGAACGGCGTGCATCGAAAACGGAGACGGATGGAAACTGATTAGAAACGCGAAGAAGAAACCGTTCGGTGATTAGCGTTAACATTGCAGTGCGCGTAAATGACAAGGTGAAGTATATAGAATATCGATATATTTTGAGTTACGACTAACAAGTAAGGAAAGAACCTCGACTTCTCAAGCGTTCGCGCGCAACTACTCTCCTAAAAGAAAATCAGAGAGAACAATCGCCTCCCGCTCGTCGCTCGTGCTACTTTATGCGCGAGAGGGAACCAATCCACCGCAAAATGGTCGAGTTCAACGAATTTCGCTCTCGTTGTCTCGTCTGTAATCCTCGCAGACCGACGCGTCGCTCGAGGAGGAACGCGCATGTAAATCCCAGAAATATTGGAGGAACACGCGTCCGATCGTGGCACACGAACACTCGGATGCCGTGTACACGCTTGACAACGGTTGACCGGTGTGTGCCGGCCGAAAGAATCCAATTGGGAGTAAGTGGCCCCTCCATTAGGCGGTCTGGGGGCCCGGGAACCGTACTAGCTCATCTCGCCCGGCTGCCGGGGCTGTTTTCCGGTAATGCGAAAACAGAAACGGAGCAGATATCCTTCCGGGACGGATATTTTGCGGCCGTGGAGCGAAATCCTCCAGTAAACCAACGGAATCCCGGCAGCTGCCGGCTTTATCCCGTCGCGGTGCAGCGCTAATGCAGCAATAAACATGCATCTATCCGAGCCGCGAGGCCTCGGCGAGCAACACGCGCGCCGCGCCTAAGGAAACACGCCCGGGGTGAGGAGGAAAAAAGGAAGGGGGAAGTCGCCGGGCGGCCGTAGTTTCCAAGTTGAAAAGAGGCGAATGGATTTTCCGGTATTTATGGATCGTTAAGTTGCCGCGGCGCTGGAACACGGGGAGACATTTTAGCGGCGGCCTGCCGAGCGAGCGGGAATTTTTCCGAACAAGAGCCGCGTATTAATTCGTCGCCGACTCGCCGGATATCTTTTATTTAGCGCGGACGAACAACGCGCTAACGACCGCGGGAGTATAGTTTACCGCGGGCCGGCGCGATCGTGAAAAGAGTTTACGGCCGGAGGAAACGGTTGTCGGCTGATCTTCGAGGTGCAGCCGCCGCGGCGGTTTACTGCGGCGACAGTTTCGAGAGGTAGCGTTTTAGCGTCGCAACGGCCGTTGTTTCGGGGGAATCATTGTAATTGCCAGCGCGGCGAACGCTTCGACTCGGCTCGCACCGATCGGATACCGAGAATTCGCGCGGACAGATGAATTTCCCGCGTTTCCCTCGTTTCATTATGAATTACGGGCTATAACGTCGTATACGACTCGCACGCTGAACGGAGTGTAATAAATACGAATGTTGTTCGAATCTTTTCTGTTGGAATCGAATAGCTCTTCTGCTGTTAGCGGTTAGCTTTAATACTTTGCTGCGTCACGCTATTTTTCGTAACATTCAATTTCCTGGTGACGTTTCGAACGAATCGAATTTTGTTGGATGTATGGGATGTAAGAAAGATAGAACAAATATTCTGAGGAATCGTGATTTTTCAGTTTCTCCTTAATAAAGAGAACTTCTTCTAGTGCATAGGGGTTTTGATGAGTGTTTTCTTGGCAGTCAAAGTGTCAAAGCGAACGCAGTTCCTTATTACCCGCGCAGCGATGGAAAAATGCAAGTCTCACGTGTAAATAGAATAGCGCGACTCATTGTCCGAGCTGAAACGAAAGAAGCGCTTTGCGAGCAGACTTTCGGGAGGCCCGTAGCAGTCGAGAGGTGGACGGTGAAGCGGCCTGAACGAGTGCAATTATGGCGGAAACGATAAGGCAAGGGGTTAAAGGAGAAAAACGGGCTCGCCGTGCGGTTGTCAAAACGATAAAGCATGCGATAAACTCGGTCGGGTGGAGAGAACGGACGGCGTATTTCAGGGGATCGCGAGGCGAGGATCACCTGGCCGAGAACGATGGCTCGAACTGTCGAATCGAGGCGCGCTAAGTAAAAAATAGTAATCGAGGAATCGCCGCACAGTGCGGTCAAACGGCCGCTTTCTGGACAAAACTCGGTAACTTGGACAGTGTGAGTGATACAAACAAATGTTTCAGACAAAACTTTTAAGGTATAGAGCTAAACGCATGGTGGTTATGTTTTTCTTACGTTACGGGGATATTATGAAGTTTCTTCGACGACAATGGATACTTTGCGTTTCGATTTCAACGCCATGTAAATAGAGAAACGGAGTTTACTTGCGGAAAATGATTATTTTTCAAGTGAAAATCATTCTGTGTAGCAGAGACTGCTTAGCAACGCATTGGTAACCTTCAATTTCCGTTATGCGAATAATCGAACATGGGGTTTCGTTTACAGTCGC